TTTTTTAATGGAACTGTTATAGACTACTGATACATGTTTAAATTGGTACAGTTTCTTTAGAAAGTATTTGTAGTACCAGCTAAAGTGGAATACAAACATACCTGAAAAACAAAAACCAAATCTACTGCAACAGAGTCCATTTGGATTCATAGTAATGTTTATAAGGTGCCAGGGGTTGTAAATCTTCACATGAACAGATAGACTAGTCTTTAGTATCGTGGGCTAGTCTTGGGGATGCTAACCAAGAAGTTCAACAGTTCGGACTCAGGAGCCATGACAAAGGAAAAAGATGAGGCTTTCTGCTCCCATAAAGATTTATATCCTATATAAATATAATTTATAATTTATCAAGGGGTCACAGGGTGGTGGGTGGAGGGAGGGGAAAAAAGAGGTGCTCATACCAAGGGCTCAAGAGAAAGTAAATGTTCAGAAAACAATGATGGCAAATATATACAAATATGCTTGATACAATGAATGAATGGATTGTTGTAAGAGCTGTAAGAGCCCTCGATAAAATGATCTTTTAATTTAAAAAATTATCTTATAATTCAACAATTCCTCTCGAGTTCATGTTGACTCATAGCAATCCTATAGGGTAGAACTGGCCTGGTGAGTTTCCGAGACTGTAACTATTTAAGGCAGTAAAAAGCCATGTATTTCTCCTGAGGAGTGGCTAGTGGTTTCAAACTGTGGACCTTGTGGATAGCAGCCCCATGCTAACCACTATACCACCAGGGATTCCTCAAGGGCTATACGAGGCCATGAAATCATCAACACCAGCTAATATTACAGGCTTCAATAAAGAGAAGCAGTTCCAGCCATCACATTAGGAGTAAGTAGGTTGACGAGTATGGCTCACATCTGATACGATAAATATCCAAATGGTCCTTGGCAGATAAAAGATTCCTGATTTAAAGAAAGGCCTAGAAGACCTCAAACACGAATGCAAGTCAGAAAGTACTACTCACAAGCTTATGGAAATTTTATTTTTAGTAATATCAAAGGGGCACTCTTGGTAGATTTACCAGAAGGGCACTGGGTGACCACGTGATCAATTGCAAAAGCAAGGTTTGTAATTGTCAATGTATTTTTTTTATGTGCTTATTGCATATCTTTCCTTTGTTCAGGTATGATATATCAGATACACTGGGCTGTGTTTTCATTTATATGTATAATAGATGATAGATGATAAGTATAAGTGTGATTTCATCAATGTCCAGAAATTATATAAGTATATGGCTAAAAAATTGTGTACAGGTGCCAGTTTGGCAAGGGGTGGATTGAGTTAGTTTATTGTGCCAGCCTGGCTGATAGGCACATGTGGGATTCATTCAAGGGCAGACAGATGAGTGGCTCTGTAAGTCTCGCCTTTCTTGTCTCTCGCTCTTTGATCATCGGGCCAGTGTGCAGCTGCCTTGCTTGTTCTGTGCCTCAATTTGCAAGCTACACTACCTGTGGGACAGCTAGCCCATGGACTGTGTCACTGTAATTTGAGGTCCCTTTAAGATTTGCTTCGCCACACAATTGTAATTTACATCTCTTGAGCTTGGGACTGATTGTTGACCTGGCTGACTGTTGGTGATCTGCCTTGCTGTTTGCTGCCTGTGCCAGGATAGCCTGATTCTCTCTACAGAGGACTACCTGGCAGTCCTCAAGACTTGAAGGACTGCCATTGTCTCACACCTCTCTCACAGGAGTGAGTTGCACTGATCCATTTGTACTGCTTTATAATTTAACACTTCATTTCTTATATTATATATCTATCTGTATATAATTTCACTGTTCATTTCTTATGTTATATATCTATCTTTATAAATATATATATAAAATTATTAGCAATCTGGTTTTCTCTCTCTAGAGAAACCTGTCTAACACAATATATATGCTTGACTGATATTGCTCCTCTAGACTAAAACATAATCTAACTCTGTGAAAGCAAAAAGGGAAACTATGGAAGTTATGCCCAAGCTGGAAAGACTGGAAGGATCCCGGAGTAAGGTGACAAGCCCCAGATATACACCCATATGTGCATATGCCACAAGTGCATAGGACAGGAACAAAGTATATAGATGCATAGAACAACATAGGTGAATCTCAAACATATTACATTAAATGGAAGAATGTCTTCCAAACACAGTACATACTGAATCCCATTTACATGGGTTACAGAACAGGCAAAGCCAAATCTTTGGCTTAAAAACCATAAGATTCATGGTTGATTGTGAGGGTAAGTTTGATTGTATTGGTTAAGATTTATATACTTTATTAATTTAAAACCTAACAGGAAACAGAATTGTAAACAAATATTAATTCTGGTTAATATAGATTTGGAAGTAATTAGGAGAAAACCTGATGCTGGTGGCACAATGCACTAAGCACTGGGCTAGGAACTCAAAGGTCAATGGCTTCAATTCAGCGGCTACTGCATACTCTCTAAAAGAAGACTGGTAGTCTCGGACCCCCTAGGAGCAGATGTACTGTCTATATGGTGGCGATGAGTCAGAATAGACTTAGCAACAATAGGTTTGGTTTGGGGAGTTTATACTAATGTTGCCTGTTAAATAGAAGTGAGTGAAAAGAACAGGAAGGATCGGAGTGACGATGGCTAAACGGACAAGCAATGATGTATGGCCAAATGTTTTAACCGCAGGTGCTGTAAACAGTCTTTTAACTTTGTGTATGTTTAAAATGTTTACATAATAAGGTGTTGAGACAAAGTGTATGGCATTTTCATAGTGTCTTGAAAGATATACTTTACCTGCCGTCTCTTCTAAGGGCAAAAACAATGCCATCTTTCTGGAAAGGAAGCAGCTTTGCTCTTAGCTTGTCAGGCAAATAATCCAGCTGGTTTTCAGATTCACTTGCCAAACAAGAAGTTTGAGGCATACGAGGCTTTCTCATATTACGAACTCTATGCATATCGACCCTGAAAACAAACAGACCATACAGCAACGTGAGATGGGTGAAGTAGGCACAGGTTAAGTATATTCCATAATCCAACGCAATTAACACTTCATTTCTTATATTATATATCTATCTATCTGTATATAATTTCACTGTTCAAATGATAATGGAAAGATGCTAATATATAATCTTGATGTATTATCTACACAAGAGAGACAACCATTAAATCATGATCCGTTAACAAGCTACGGAGAAAATTTAAAGCACTGAGTCCAAACACAATTACATAATGTACAACCTAGGAACTCAACAGCCTGTAATGCACTGAGCCACAACATAAGCCATACAGATGGGCCTGGACGGGTAAACAGTGTGTTCTGAAAGTTGGCAGTTTGAATCCATGCAGTAGTGTTGTATAAGCAGGAACTAGTCAAATGCTTCAAGAAAGATAGCTGTGAAAACCTGCGGGCTAGTTCAACTCAGTAAGACATGGGGTTGTAGGGGTTAGAATGACCTTGACAGTAATGGGTTTGGTTTTTGTGGTTTAAAAACTCTCCTAGACAAGAAATTGTTAAGACTGGACTTCTGATAAGATGATGGAGTAGGCAGAAAAATGACTTGGATTATCTACAACATAGGCACAAGAAATCAAATGAAAGAGATACAGATGAAAATACTGGAAGCCTAAGCTTCAAGTGACATATAAAGAAATGGACTGAATACTGACTATAAGAAACTGAATGAAAGCAACATATAAAGAAACGGAATGGTGAGCTGTCAAATAGTCTGACAGCACATAGCCACTTTGAATTTCTAAGTGCAGTTGATATTGGGGCAACAAGCTGATTGATAATCCCTCTGCTTGCCCAGGGTCATGCAGCTACATGCCGACCAGAGTGGTGCATGTTTTCCCCTTATTTCCCAGGTTCTCCCAGGGACCAGAATGATCAGTTCCCTCCCCCTTTTTTTGTATTCCCTGGGGGTTTCATCACTCTGCTCCCCCTGCTGCTATGCTGCATGCTCTCAGCGCCTGACCCCAGCGTGATGGGGCTAGACCGTGCACTATTCCCACTCTGCTGTCCCCGCAGCACCATGGTTCAGTGAGGGATGCCATGTCCCATGGTGGGGCCAGCCCTACGATCCTCCCTGTGCGTGTCTGGGAGGGTATTGTTTATATCTCCACAGGAGAGGATATATAAATGCTGGTGACACCTGCACCCCTACATGGCCCCTGTTCCAAGCCAGGAGGTATGCCCTCATGAATCAGGCACCAGTCCAAGCAGGCCAGGATGTCCTCCTCCCTCTTCATCCTTTTCGTTTCTCCTGTGTGCTATAATCTGATGCACCTCTCTACCCAAGCTGTAGCCCCAGTGCTGTCCTCTGAAGTGCATTCTTCTGGGGGGTAGGCAGGGGGAAGGTCTCCACATAGTTGGGGTTGGGGCCAGACCCGCAGACCTCTCTATTGGTTCCCTGGTACATGCTGGTATGTTGTATTCATGTCTTGGTGCATCGGGTTGAACCTGGTCTCTCTCTCCCTCTCCCCACTATCAGGACTTCAATTCTATCTTACAAATAGGATTAGACCAGGGAATCCACACTGCTACAGATAAGAGCCCGAAACACAGAGAATCCGGAGATACCAGTAGGATTAGGGGATGGTGGGGGGAGAAAGAGGGAATCGATCACAAGGATCAATCTAGAACTGCCTCCCAGGGGGACAAATAACAGAAAAGTGGGTGAGGGGCGATGGAGGATGATGTAAGAAATGAAAATAATAATCTATAACTTATCAAGAGTTCCTGAGGGAGGGCGGGCGGGGGAGGAGGGGGGAAGAAATGGGGAGCTGATATCAGGGGCTCAAGTAGGAAGAGAATGCTTTGAAAATGATGATGGCGGCAAATGTGCTTGACACACTGGATGAATGTATGGATTGTGATAAGAGATGTAAAAGCCCCCAATAAAAGTATTTATAAAAAACAAAACAAAACAAAAACAAGTGAATCAGGCACGAGAACATGCCACTCCTATGTTTGGTGGCACTCGATTGGCATTGCCTTCGACCTGGAGAGCATAGAACCAAATTGAGCTGCCTGTCCCCCACCCCCACCCCCGCCCCCCTACCACTCTAGGCCAGAAGTAATGCATCAGATGATCATTCCCCCCACCCCCAGCCCCATCAGCCTCCTGGGAACAGGGGCGCTGATTTACAGCGCCCTCATCAGCGCCCTCCTTGGCCAGCACATGGAGCAGATGGTGTTCTGGCTCCTCACAGGGCAGACGTGCTGCCTGAGAATCACACACGCCCACTTCATCTTTCATTTCCTGCCCTTGTTTGTGTTGTTTTTTTCCTAACTGCCTTTGTCTTTTTCTTAGTTTTGTTTATTTCCCCTTTTCCAACCCTTCCTATTCTTTTTGTTTTACTTTACAACTCTTTTCCTTTCCCTTTCCTTTCTTGCCTCTTTGCTTCATTTTAAAAGTTTTCCTCATCATTTTTCTTCATTTGTTGTAATTATTTCAGCGTCCCCCCCACCCCTCTCGCCCCGTTTGATTTTATTTCTCTCGTGTTCTTGCTCCCTTTTTGGTTCATTTTCTTTTGTTGCTGTGGTGGTTTTTTCCCCCTCTGGTTTTTCTTTTCCTTGTCCCATGGCTGGGAAAAAGCAGTAATGCCTACATCATCTAGGAAAAGCCACATTTGGTGCAGCATTACTGGACAAGCATCATCATCATCAGCTCTTGCACCACTAGATTAGCACCAGCCCAACCCACCTCAACTCTACATGAAAAGACAAAAAGTACCTGCACACACACTCCCATCCTCCACCACACCAACCAAGAAATAGGTACTGAGACCATCGATGCTCCCAGGCTAGCAAGCAAAGGAACACACACTTAGCAATAACAAAACAAAGTACCTGGGTAAAACACTAACTTACCAACTACATACAAATATAACAACACTACAACCTTGGTTCACTTGAAGAAACAAGACAGACTGGCATAAAAAGTGACAACACAGAGCCAGAAAATTTTCCTGGGGAAAAAATAACACACTTGACAAGGAATTCAAAAGAATATTTAAGTATCTTCAAGAGACTGAGAGAAAGATCAAGGAAAACATTCAAAATCAAGGAAAATACAAAAACAAACAAAAAACAATCTCTTAGAGCTCAGGAGAACACAAGAGCAAGGGGAAAAATGGAAGGAAAGAAAAATAGAACCCATACCCAAAAAGCAGATACAAAACCAGGAGATTAATATCACGATTTCAGAAATAGATAATGGATTGAAAGGGGGGGAATGAATCCATGAAAGACAGAATTAAGGAAATTTAAGATACCCAGAAATGAAAGGAATTTATAAAACTGAGACCAATTTTACAATACTGAAGGAAGTTCTTTGGCCAGAGAACCAATAAGCTCTTATTAACATACATGGCCTCACCACCCAAAAGTCAATCCAGATATACAAGTATACCAAGTAAAATTAAGAGAAAAAAAAGAAAATCAGAGATTTAGTAAACACTAAATTAGCAGCAGCAGAGGAAAGAAGAAAATCCATAAAATAACTCAGCACAGAAATTTAAAGAACAAAGAGACCAGCAGCATTGCTTGAGCGCATGCTCAGGTAATACACAGCAAAAAATTCATACCTATTGATAATTGCACTGACTGTTAATGGATTAAACACACCACTGACTGATAGTGGCCCTAAAGGACAGGGTAGAACTGCACTTGTGGGTTTCAGAGACTGTAATTCTTTGAAGGAGTAAAAAGCTTCATCTTTCACCTACAGAGTGGTGGTGGTTTTAAACTGCTGACCTTATGATTAAAAGTTCAACATGGAACCACAAAGGCTCAAGTAAGAAAATAGGACATCAACATGCTGCAAACAGGACACAGATCTTAGCCCCAAAGATAAAAGAATCTAAAAATCAAAGGATGGAAAACATGTATCAAGGAAATGGCACTCAAAAGAAAGATTGGCAATATTAATTTCTGATAAAATTGACTTTAATGAAAGGAAGGCTTAACCTATCAATTGAATTGAAGTCTGAGGAAATCTCTTTGGCATCATAAGCCTTTTCGTGTGAGGAGAGATGTAGGAGTTGCGTTCTCTTCGGCTCTTCGCCTTCTGCAGGAGTTGGATCTTGAGTCTGGTTCCTCAGTCCCAGGAGCCACCAGCAGAGTAGACAGTGGATTCATTTGGCTGACTTTGGACCTCTACATCCGTCAGCTTGTGTCCTACACTGCCTCTGCTTCATCATCTTGGTCTGGCTCCTAGATCACCTACTCTGTTGCCTGCAAAGGCCAGGAGACATCAGCAGACTACCCTGACTTGAACCAGACTTATCTATTTCTACACAATATAAGCCATTTCTTGAGCTAAATCTCTTTCTATACACAACACATACAAGTGTCACTGGTTGTGTTTCTCTAGAGAATCCAGACTAACAGAGACATGCAGAATATTCCATCCAACCGCAGTACACTACATATTCTTTCCAGAACAATGGCATATGTTAGACCACAAACAAGCCTCCAGAAATTGCAAAACCACTGAAGTACTAGAAAGCATCTTCTCAGAGCACAATGATATAAAATTAGGAATCAAGAATAGGCAGATTGAGGAGGGGAAAATCTAATATATGGAAACTAAATAATAACTAACATGAAAACTACTGAGTGACAGATTAAAAATGAAATATAATTTCAAATTATTAAATCAAAGGAAATGAATATACAAGACACAAAGATTTGGGGATGGAGCATAAGAATTGCTCAGAGGGCAATTTATAGCAATAAGTCCACACATCAAAAAAGGAAGAAACAAAATCAACACCTCGGTGTATTATCTGCAAATAAAAAAGAAAGCAACAAAATAAGCCTAGTCACCACAAGTGAGAAAAAAAAAGACCCAGGTAGAAACAAAAGAGAAAAAATTAACAAGATTTGAAGTTGGTTCTTTGAATGAATTAATAAAATGGGCAAAAGCACTGGCAAAAACCTACCAAAGCAAAAGAGG